ATCGATCTGCTTCAAGTCAAGCACACAGCTGCTGCTGCCACCTTATGACAATTCACACTTAAAATTAGGTAGTCTGTCATCGATGACAGTAGCTCTTTGATGGAAAACTGCTGGGAAACAGCCTTTCTCACATGCACATTCACACTCTGCTGTAACACACAGACAGTTATGACGTTTATAAGTTGTGTATGCTCAAAATATTTGAAACATCATGCTTACTCACAGGCTGAACCAAGAGTCAAGCTGTTCACCTAACTGCCCTTGAGCAAAGCACTGTACATGTACACTTGGTTTACTGTAAATTATATTCTTGAAATATCGTGATATAATTTTGAGGCTATATTGCCCACCCCTAGTCCCATGACTGACTAATATGGACCGCTGTATTGTTAAAATATTCTCTTTGTGTTTCTTACTTTTCCTTATAGGATAACTCATTCGTTTTCTCGTGTGTCAAGTAAAACTTTGAATCATAGCTGTCTTTGAATCATAGCTCTGTCTTGATTTCAGACTAGTTGTTACTGCTGACTATTATAAATGATCTCATTCCTGTTAGCAGGGTGACTGTGATCTGAAGGCTGGAATGGCCTCAGTGTTGTGTGCGGTTTCATCATGCGTCTGGAATGCTTTTGCATGGGCTTCAATGAGGAGGAGACTTACAAATCTATCTCTAATGTAAACAAATCACTGCTCAAAAAGCAGGTCATTTTTAAATGGGTTAAATGAGAAAAGTGGGAGAAAGAAGAGAATTTGCCAGCTAGCAAAACTCATAATAGGCCTTTTCTGTTTGGGCTCGGATTGACGGATGCCAAGTATTTCTGGTCAGGGTGCGTTGCCAGTTGTGGGCTCAAGCACAAGCAGCAGGTTGTCAAAACCTCTGAAAAACAGGCAGGGAGAAATCACATCCTCACAGCTGAAGGGCTTCTTTGAGAATGTGTTTGTGAATCCATCCATGGTAATAAACTCTTTTCTTTGGCTGGATTAAAGTTACTCACTGTTCGGTCCAGTTGAGTTTCTACCCTATTTTCCCCCTTTTTTTCTTCATCTTGGAGTTACATTTCTATGTCTAAAGCTGCTGTAATGGTTCTGCTGCCACTTTTTAGCACGTCACATTCTTAGGTGAGAAACTTTCACAGAGAGAGTTTATTTTTTATTTTTTAAATCCGTTCTGTTCAGTTAGCCGTGGTGATATGACTCCTTGAGTCCTAAGGGAGGGGTGGCTCTTTTACAAAGTACTGCTGGGAAACAGCCTTTCTCACATGCACATTCACACTCTGCTGTAACACACAGACAGTTATGACGTTTATAAGTTTTGTATGCTCAAAATATTTGAAACATCATGCTTACTCACAGGCTGAACCAAGAGTCCAGCTGTTCACCTAACTGCCCTTGAGCAAAGCACTGTACATGTACACTTGGTTTACTGTAAATTTAGACATTAAATATTACATCATTCCCATACCCTGTCAGCTTTGCTGATTACCATATGGTCAGTTGCTATCTTGTATGCAGTACAATGCCTTATAAAGAAATACAAATATTATTATTATATAATTTTTCATTATTTTAGAGTGTTATGGTATTAATTTGCATTATTTTATGCTAGAATGACCAAGACCTAATCCAAGTAGGCATGAAATCCTCTAATTGCCTGTCTACATGTTCTGAACTCTGATTGTTGAATGGTTTAGTCTACTTGAGGAGGTGTGGCTTCCCCAGCCGAGAAATTACCCAAGAATTTGGTTAGTTAAACCCTGGGACCATTGATTCACAGCTCAGTAAACATAACTGCTAATCTGTCTTTTGTGGTTCACATTAAGTGAAACCTCGGCGTGACCTCATACTTTCTCCATTCAGCCAGAATGAAAGGAAGAGCCAGAGAGTTGTTGGTTAAATAATTTTCCATTCAAAAGTTTATTTCTCTTGCATAACCCTTGTTGATTGGCAGTTATTTTTATATTTAATTTATATGAGTAAGTTAGAGTGGGCAAACTGTGTGTGTAATATTAGGTGAGAAACTTTCACAGAGAGAGTTTATTTTTTATTTTTTAAATCCGTTCTGTTCAGTTAGCCGTGGTGATATGACTCCTTGAGTCCTAAGGGAGGGGTGGCTCTTTTACAAAGTACTGCTGGGAAACAGCCTTTCTCACATGCACATTCACACTCTGCTGTAACACACAGACAGTTATGACGTTTATAAGTTTTGTATGCTCAAAATATTTGAAACATCATGCTTACTCACAGGCTGAACCAAGAGTCCAGCTGTTCACCTAACTGCCCTTGAGCAAAGCACTGTACATGTACACTTGGTTTACTGTAAATGTAGACATTAAATATTACATCATTCCCATACCCTGTCAGCTTTGCTGATTACCATATGGTCAGTTGCTATCTTGTATGCAGTACAATGCCTTATAAAGAAATACAAATATTATTATTATATACTTTTTCATTATTTTTGAGTGTTATGGTATTAATTTGCATTATTTTATGCTAGAATGACCAAGACCTAATCCAATTAGGCATGAAATCCTCTAATTGCCTGTCTACATGTTCTGAACTCTGATTGTTGAATGGTTTAGTCTACTTGAGGAGGTGTGGCTTCCCCAGCCGAGAAATTACCCAAGAATTTGGTTAGTCAAACCCTGGGACCATTGATTCACAGCTCAGTAAACACAACTGCTAATCTGTCTTTTGTGGTTCACATTAAGTGAAACCTCGGCGTGACCTCATACTTTCTCCATTCAGCCAGAATGAAAGGAAGAGCCAGAGGGTTGTTGGTTAAATAATTTTCCATTCAAAAGTTTATTTCTCTTCCATAACCCTTGTTGATTGGCAGTTATTTTTATATTTAATTTATATGAGTAAGTTAGAGTGGGCAAACTGTGTGTGTAATATATTTCTAAGGAGTGAGGATGAAAGCAATTTGGTATTGAGTGCTCCTATAAAACATCAGGCCTGTAAAGAAAGGGATCTAGGGTATTTAATTGTTTACAAGTTTAAAATTATGTGTGGGGGTTTGATTTATGATTTCTGTGGAATTATATTTGCTAATGTAATGACTAGTGAATGGATATTTATGGTTTATGTATTTCCAGTAAATTCTCAGATTAAAATGTGTGTGGTTGCATATTTGATAGTCCTTCCGGGTTTATACATTTTTTCAGGGTGAAACATCAGAGAATAAAAGTAAAAAGGGGCAAACAATAAAAAGTTTTACCCCAAACTTTTCTTGTAAGATTTATGGGAGGGAGCTCAAAGCGAGAGCCTGCATTAGATCGAGGTAGGAGGTGTTAAACGGAGATTGACACAAATGATGTGTTGTCTAAGGGCATGGGATCTTGGCTATGGGGAAGGGGCTGGCAGTCTTATGTCACTTCTGATAACAGACAGGCCCAGACACTTGCAGGTGTTACAGAAAAAGACAGCGCATGCACTCCACTGTTAAAGAACGCAGACTGAGCGAAGACAGTACACCGACACAAAGCAGATGAAGCACAATGAAGGTATGATCCACAGAGAGCAATCTGCATCCACTCAGCACACAGGAGTATCCCAGAAAGAGTGTTTCTGGACCACTGTCAGGGCACTGAGGATTACCTTTTGGGATGTCCATTGTGGACTTTTGGAGTGAAATCGCGAGGCATTATGGTGGTTTTCTGATGTGCACTGGGCATTGGTGTGTTTCAGGTGGCAGGAGACTATAAATACCACCCCGAGTGCTTCGTGTGTTTAAGCTGCAAGGTGGTGATTGAAGATCAGGATACCTATGCCTTAGTGGAACGAACCAAACTCTACTGGTGAGCACACATTTCACTTCCAAACTGTACATGTATTTATTGTAGACCGTACTGGTGCGGAAACTTTACACGCATTAGCTCCAAACTGTAGTGATGATTCCTCTGTTGACTTTACATATCTTAGCTAGGGTGACTAGCTGTCCCAGTTTTATGACAATTCATTAAAAATGTAAATATGTCCCAGTTTCAGTTTGACTTTTTATTTTAATTAACTATCTTCAGTATCCTTGTAGCTATAATCTCTTGTATCATTTGTGTTGTTCAATAGGATGCCACTGCCGAATTGCAAAGCTGTTTGATTACCATATGGTCAGTTGCTATCTTGTATGCAGTACAATGCCTTATAAAGAAATACAAATATTATTATTATATACTTTTTCATTATTTTTGAGTGTTATGGTATTAATTTGCATTATTTTATGCTAGAATGACCAAGACCTAATCCAATTAGGCATGAAATCCTCTAATTGCCTGTCTACATGTTCTGAACTCTGATTGTTGAATGGTTTAGTCTACTTGAGGAGGTGTGGCTTCCCCAGCCGAGAAATTACCCAAGAATTTGGTTAGTCAAACCCTGGGACCATTGATTCACAGCTCAGTAAACACAACTGCTAATCTGTCTTTTGTGGTTCACATTAAGTGAAACCTCGGCGTGACCTCATACTTTCTCCATTCAGCCAGAATGAAAGGAAGAGCCAGAGGGTTGTTGGTTAAATAATTTTCCATTCAAAAGTTTATTTCTCTTCCATAACCCTTGTTGATTGGCAGTTATTTTTATATTTAATTTATATGAGTAAGTTAGAGTGGGCAAACTGTGTGTGTAATGTATTTCTAAGGAGTGAGGATGAAAGCAATTTGGTATTGAGTGCTCCTATAAAACATCAGGCCTGTAAAGAAAGGGATCTAGGGTATTTAATTGTTTACAAGTTTAAAATTATGTGTGGGGGTTTGATTTATGATTTCTGTGGAATTATATTTGCTAATGTAATGACTAGTGAATGGATATTTATGGTTTATGTATTTCCAGTAAATTCTCAGATTAAAATGTGTGTGGTTGCATATTTGATAGTCCTTCCGGGTTTATACATTTTTTCAGGGTGAAACATCAGAGAATAAAAGTAAAAAGGGGCAAACAATAAAAAGTTTTACCCCAAACTTTTCTTGTAAGATTTATGGGAGGGAGCTCAAAGCGAGAGCCTGCATTAGATCGAGGTAGGAGGTGTTAAACGGAGATTGACACAAATGATGTGTTGTCTAAGGGCATGGGATCTTGGCTATGGGGAAGGGGCTGGCAGTCTTATGTCACTTCTGATAACAGACAGGCCCAGACACTTGCAGGTGTTACAGAAAAAGACAGCGCATGCACTCCACTGTTAAAGAACGCAGACTGAGCGAAGACAGTACACCGACACAAAGCAGATGAAGCACAATGAAGGTATGATCCACAGAGAGCAATCTGCATCCACTCAGCACACAGGAGTATCCCAGAAAGAGTGTTTCTGGACCACTGTCAGGGCACTGAGGATTACCTTTTGGGATGTCCATTGTGGACTTTTGGAGTGAAATCGCGAGGCATTATGGTGGTTTTCTGATGTGCACTGGGCATTGGTGTGTTTCAGGTGGCAGGAGACTATAAATACCACCCCGAGTGCTTCGTGTGTTTAAGCTGCAAGGTGGTGATTGAAGATCAGGATACCTATGCCTTAGTGGAACGAACCAAACTCTACTGGTGAGCACACATTTCACTTCCAAACTGTACATGTATTTATTGTAGACCGTACTGGTGCGGAAACTTTACACGCATTAGCTCCAAACTGTAGTGATGATTCCTCTGTTGACTTTACATATCTTAGCTAGGGTGACTAGCTGTCCCAGTTTTATGACAATTCATTAAAAATGTAAATATGTCCCAGTTTCAGTTTGACTTTTTATTTTAATTAACTATCTTCAGTATCCTTGTAGCTATAATCTCTTGTATCATTTGTGTTGTTCAATAGGATGCCACTGCCGAATTGCAAAGCTGTTTTTGAAAGCTTAACTGAACAAAATCTAATAGTTTCACACATTTGTTCTTTTGCAAGTAAATGCAAATATTATGCACATCTGGCTTTTTTTAATTCACTTAATTCATTCTTTAATAAATTAACTAACTTATTTTAAAGTACCAATTTACGAAAAAAACTGTTATAGATGTACACACATTTGTTCTATTCATGTTTCATGAATAAGGCCCATTAGTTACAAATTTTACTGAGGAAACACTTGCATTGCAAGTCTTGAGTAGCCTTTAAATGTTGGTAACTTAAGTTGTATTACATTGAGTACATGTAAGCAGCTATATTTAATACAATATCATAATCTCCTAATTCTTTATATTAAAAAAGGTTTCTTCTCAACTTTCTTTTATATGATTCAATTTGCTATCTTGTCTGTTGTTTATCTTCATTTGTTGTTTTCAGTAAAGCACAGGCAGGTTGACACCGATCCAAGGGTTTCATAACATGTCTAGAGGACTTGCTCTTGTCAGGTCTTGTCCTGAAAGTTCAGGTCCTAAAGTTTTCAAACTCAAGTGAGGCTTTTCAACTTCTCTCTCTCACGCAGTGGTAAATGCTACAAGCAGGTGGTCCTGACGCCGGTGTTGGAGAAGCGTGGTTTGGCCGACTCTCCTACGGACCTGCTCCCTCACACAGTGACTCTGGTGTCCATGCCCGCTGCAACCAATGGTAAAAGAGGTTTCTCTGTCAGCGTGATTAGAGACTGCACAAGTGCCACGGCCAGTGTCCAAGTTAAAGAGTAAGTAGAGATGTGGAATTAACATGTAATACATTTGATGCATCCCCCCAATTATTTTGCTTGAGATCTTCATTTGAGTCCTGGTTAAGCAAGCAGAAACATTTGGAATAATAGAGACTTGCTTAAGTAATTTTTCACCTCGAAGATTCACCACAATGCCACCACACCCAATGCCAGAGACACATGGAATGTTTTGCATAACTGTGGTGATATGACTGCTTATGTTGGACTGAGGGCACAAACTGCCACTTTCTTTTTGTGTTGTTTGGATGTGGTGTCATAACAGAAAGCTATGAGATTTCTCTTATCATTCTTAACCTCTCTTTTCATGATGGAAATCTCCCAAAATCTTATCCTTACAGGGTCAGAGGCATGCATATTAGTCCAGAGGTTCGGAACGCCATCCATGTTGGGGACCGAATCCTGGAGATCAATGGACTCCCGGTGTCAGCTCTGATGGAGGAGGAGGTACTTTCCATTTTTTTCCACTACCATGCTTGCTATTAGCTTTGAGGTGAGGTGAAATCGTGCCAACGTTAACTTGTTGAAGCAGTACAGAGGAACGGCATGGTAAGCATTTGGAACACAAACTCATACTATAGCTTGTGCCACCACATACAATGACACTCCTTTCATACCATGGTAATTACTTTAACCTGGTCATGCATTGAATTTACACTACTCCCTAGAAACAGGCTGTTTGTTATATGGCTTTGATGTGTTTTTTTAATCATAATCCATTTGGAGCTTGGAGCTTCATTCTAAATTGGCATGCATCTGTTTTGTCAAAGCACTGGATATGTTTGTTGATGTTGCAGAAGCAGTATTTAGTTTTCTTAAGAAATAAAATGTAAGTAGTCATGCATGAGTTTAACTTTGTAATGCATACCTATGTTGGGAGGTCTGTGTATGTAGACTCTTGTACTAAAGTGACTTGTCAACTCCTATGTAAATGCTTTGCATTCTTATCGTGCATTTGTAAATGTAATTTCATTTTCCCACCATTTCTTCTTAATGTCTGAATTCCACTGCTTCCCTTCTGTTGTCATTGTGTTGTGCCCTAATTTAATCACGTACAAGGAGGTTTTTGGACTGACTTTGTTTGGCAGCCATCTGCCCGACGTAATGAGCAGCCTGAAGTTCTGTAATCCTAAAAATGGAAAATTCCTGGAAAAGTCCTGAAATGAACATAATCACAATTACAATTACAGAAAGCAGTCTTCATTGCTGCACGTCCAGATTTATCGACCTGAAAATATTGAATATCCAGCGTATTCCACTGTTCCTGTGTATTACATAATCTTAAATTCAGTGTTGATTTTGAGGGCTTATCTTTTGCACCTTTAGAAAGACCTTTTGTGTGGCACCAGCTTTGACTGGGAGGAAAATCAATGTTATCTACGTGAACAGCACTAATGCACAATACTAACCTTTTATGACTTAATGCTGTCCTCTAGCTTTTAATTGTTCTTGTGACCCTGATCAAAGCAACCAGAGTGTATATGACCTTCTGAATTTGGATTGGTCGTTCCAGGTGGAGGACCTGATCCATCGGACCAGTCAGACACTGCAGCTGTTGATGGAATATGATCCAGTCAGACAGCGTCTGGACCGACTCCGCCTGGGCTCTTCCCGCAGTCAGCTGGGTGTCCCCGCGGCCTCCCGCATGCGTATGTCCTCCTCAGCGGATGCTGAGATCGAACGAAGTGACTCAGTTGACAATGGGACGTTAAAAAGGAGGTCCCTCAGGTAACGTATGTCATCTAATTGGAGCATTTACATTTTTGATTCCAAGTGGATGTGGACATAGAAAGATGGTGCAAAATAAATACATTACACACTTGTTTATCCTTTTCCAATTGCTATTTGAGTTTGTACAGAATTAATACTTTTGTCTTGTGTGGTGTAGACGTAGCAACAGTATCTGCAAGTCTCCAGTTTCTTCATCTCCAAAGGACCCTCCGATTCTAACTCGAGATATCGGGCGCTCTGAATCCCTCCGTTCTCCTTCCAGCCGCTCTCACCGTATTTTCCGACCCTGTGACCTCATCCATGGAGAAATCCTCGGAAAAGGCTTCTTTGGACAAGCCATCAAGGTGTGCATATGTTTAACAACCTTTCCTCATTTTGTGTGTATTGCAGTGTCTAGAAGAGCTGTTTCACTGCATTGAAGCTTAGTTCATAGTTGGAAGACAGGTCTGTATTTCCTTTGGTAATGAAATCGTAAGGAATTCTGATTCCACAGTTATGAATTGTGGTTCCTTAATGATTCTATTACCGAGCAACTTGGCTAAAGCATTTTTCTTTACTTGGAATAAGTTCAGTAGTGTCATAGTAGTTCCATTCAGTAGTTCCATTCCCAGTTGGCAGAACAATGCGGATGAAGTTTAGTAAAACTATTTGGTTTCGATATTTTTGAAGAACTGGAAATAATTTAAGTTCCAACCCTAATACTGTGTGATTTTTATTTTTATTTTTTTGTAGGTGACCCATAAAGCCACAGGTGAGGTGATGGTCATGAAGGAGCTGATCCGCTGTGATGAAGAGACACAGAAAACGTTCCTAAAAGAGGTATGAAGATCCCTTTCTTTCCCCACAAGTACCTCTCATTCGTCCATCTGATTACCACGTAATTTTTTTTCCTTCGTCTCCATATCCACTTTTATTCCTTCCATCCCTTTGTTGTCTGCTCAGGGTCAGTATCAGGGCTTGATTTAAACTGCAGATAAAACAGATCCATGTGGCGCCGGGATACAGTGTTGCTGTCGCATTTGTGATTTTCTTCAGAGGAAAAGAGTCTTAGATTTATCCAGACTGTATTTAGTATGACTCATTTGAAGAATCTTAGCAATTAGTATTTTTCCCTCACTCTCTCACTCTCTCTCTTTTCCAGGTAAAAGTGATGAGAAGTCTTGATCACCCACACGTTTTGAAGTTCATTGGGGTTTTGTACAAGGACAAGCGGCTTAATCTGATAACAGAGTTCATTGAGGGAGGCACTCTAAAGGATTTTATCCGAGACACGGTGCGTCCTGATTTTCAAATCTCTTTTTCCCTTTCCTCTTGCTTCTAGGAAGGGCTGTATATCATCTGTTAGTGTTTTAGTCTTTGTCTCCGTTCACCTGAGATGAACTTTGTAAGGAGGACAGAGAATAGGGACTGGAAAATATAAACAGTCGATGAAATGAGAGGAAGAAAATGCAGTTGTGTGGTTGCAGTGGATGAGAGATAAAGGAGGTATGAAGTGTTTCCAGGTGTGGGATTCTAGTGAGAATTTTTTCCAGATCACCCACTGGGTTTGCTTCAAACCAAACATAAGGATAACAAATGATATACCTCTCTTGTTCAGTCTGTCATTGTGTCTCTCTAATGCGCTATAATGTTTTCTATAAAAGTGTGTCTGTGTGTGTGTAATTTGTCTAATAAGGGGCTGCCGTTATGTAACGATTTCCTCTCTAATTCACGGACAGCATAGCGTGCTGTCACACTGGGCTGTATTATAGTGTGGTTATAAACTAGGCCAGCAATTCATCTCTCTCTCTGTCCCTACAGGACTCATTCCCATGGGAACAGAGAGTTAGCTTTGCAAAAAGCATCGCATCTGGAATGGTGAGTGGGCTTCTGGGTCTGCACACTTAATAGATTTGCAAAACAACATAAGCTATTGTTGTACAACATTTGAGGCACTTTTGGATCAGAATTGACCGTTATAAATTTGATTTGATTGAGAGTATCTTGAGTTTTTCTTTTTTATGCTGGTACTCGTCACTCTCTCTTAGGAACAAGAATCATTTGCAGACCTTAGTTAGGACTTGCTAAAAAATTATAGGTGTGCCTCTGCGGAGTCTAGCAGAATTCTACGAGCAACAAATGCTAAGAAAAACTCGTAGCATTACGGGAGATGACTCTCACCCCTTGAAGTTTTACTTTGAAGTATTGCCCTCTGGAAGAAGATTCAGAAGCATTAAATGTTCATCTAATAGATATAAATTAACTTTAATATAGTTGTTCCAGAGGCTATACGTTTTTAGTAAGGTTTTTTTGTTTATGTACGAAATGTATTATGAAGCATGTTGGGCTGTGTTTTTACTTATTTATCTTTTTGTATAGTCTATGTGAAATCTTATGTTTGAATTAAAGGGATAGTTCACCCAAAAATGAAAATTTGATGTTTATCTGCTTACCCCCAGGGCATCCAAGATGTAGGTGACTTTGTTTCTTCAGTAGAACACAAATTATGATTTTTAAGTCCAACCGTTGCAGTCTATCAGTCGTATAATGCATGGCAATGGTAACAAAATCTATGAGAGTAAAAAAAACATGCACAGACAAATCCAAATTAAACCCTGCGGCTCGTGATGACACATTGATGTCCTAAGACACGAAACGATGGGTTTGTGCCAGAAACCGAACAGTATTTATATAATCTTTACCTCTAATACACCACTATGTCCAACTGTCTTTGAGCGCGCGCACGGCATCCGGTGCGTGAGGTGTGTACGCGCTCTGGCGTAGTGTACGTTAATGGGTGTGTTGATATCCAGCCCAAGAGCAATCAACCATAACTTCAGGCGAGCAGGCTCAGAAGTTGGGAATACGTGGAAAGTCACCACTCCCGAATGAGTTCACGCGAGAGAATGTAATCTTTTAGTTTTAAGTCGGTTTGAACAATCCGGATAAGTGCAAGTAAGTACCATTTTGATTAGCCGTTATACCTACAATGTTTTACAATGTATTACGTTACCTACAACTGTGTAAACAATGAGTGACATACGCACGAGAGATCACTTTCGGCGCTTACGTAAACTACGCCAGAGCGCGTACACACCTCACGCACCGGATGCCGTGCGCGCCCTCAAAGACGTTGGACATAGTGATGGATCAGAGGTAAAAAATGATATAAATACTGTTC